AAAGAGTCCTGGCCTATTCAGTTTTGTTCCAGTCTCTGAGAGCAGGGCCTGGACACGTGCATTTGCTTTTCTTGGATGAGCTGTTGGTTAGGGATCATATGGGACTGAGGACAGACTGACTGACTGGTGTGGAATAAAAAGAAACCACTGAGGAAACTAATACAGGTGTCCCACCACAAACAGGGATTGCTCGAACTAAGGGAGTAGTAGTGGGGATTGAGAAAAGACAGGCAGTGAACAGAAGGCACATAGTTCAGCACAATCTGGGAAGTAGCTAGATGTGGGAGGAAAGGGTGAGGCAGGTTCCCCTAGACTCTTCCTTGGGTGAATGAACAGACAAGTGGATCAATACCTAAGCAAGAAAGAAGTGCAGGGTACAGGAAGAATTTAGATTTAACCACTTACAGGTCTATGTGTCACTCAAAGGAAAAATCTCAAGATAGTTGGATAAAGAATATGGGCTCAGGAGGGATGTCTTCATGGTTCTCTAAGCTTGAATTCCCACCTTACTGTTGCAGCAAAGAAAACAAGTATCTCTTGCCCTGACTGGTATGGCTCAGTAGGTTGGGTGCTGTCCTACAAACGGAAAAGTTGAGAAAGGTTGTTGGTTCGATTCCTGATCAGGGCACATGCCTGGGCTGCTAGCCAGGTCATGGGTTGGTGGCTTGTGAAGCGGCAGTTGATCGATGGTTCTCTTGCACGTGATGTTTCTCTCCCTCTCCTTCTCCCTTCCTTTCCCTCTCTTTAAAAACAAATAAATAAAATCTTTTAAAAAACAAACAAGAAATATCTCAAACATTCAGTAATACTTCTCAACGCAATGAGAATATTTTCAGGTGTACTGGTATAATAAAATGTGAAATGATCAGCCTCTTTAGAGTTATAACAAGATCAGAAAAGATCCAAGAACTAGGAGACAAATGTTTTTGTTTTAGTATAAATCTTAAAAAAAGTCCCAAATGTTGCAATAACTGAGTATACTCTTTCCCAGCAGCTGTCCATATTATCTTCTAGCAGAGAAACGTTTACAAAGTATATCATTAAAGGAGGCTGAAATTATCCCAATTTACCGGGATGCATGAATTCAGGATAAAAAATGCTATGCTTTTTTTTTAATTCCCCAAAACCCAGAGCGGTTTCAGGACACTCACACTGACAGAACATCATTTGTAAAACTCCCTTAACCTCCGGACACACACAACACACCAGTACCAGACACACTCAATACTCTATTGTGTTACCCAACCTCACAGAATATAAACCTGTACTCAAAAGCAAACTAGTTTATTGCTGAGTACAACTAATTCCAAGGAATGAACTGTAATTTAGTGACTTCCTACTCATTCAAAAGTGATTATGGATTAAAAGCATATCAATATGTAGTCCTGAGTAAAAATCATTTACCCAGGATTAAAACATTCCTAACAAATCTCAAATACTCTTCTCAACAGTTATGCCGTAACAACTAATAAAATGTCACTCCTCTCTTAAATTCACAAATTTTCCCACTGAGAAAGCACTTCTGGGAAGATACTCAGCTGGAGGGCCCTTAGGGGAAATGTGTGCAATTGAGGCTGAAAAGAAATTATGAGGCTGCAATCAATTTCCTTAGCCACACCTTCAGGTTTCTCTTTTGTAGCTATTTCCCTTCTGATTGAAGCAATGGTTACAATCTGGTTATTGCCATCAATGTTGAATTAGCTGCCTGCCAATTAAAACATATTTAATGTTTTATTAATATTGTAATTCCTAAAAAGGCTTCTGAAAAAGTCTACTCCTTTTGGCCAGTGATTTTTAAACTTTTCATTTCACAGCACATATGAACTAATTATTAAAATTCTGCAGCACAGCAAAAAATATATTTTTTGCTAATCTGACCAAAAAAAGGGGGGGGGGTAATTTTGATTCATTCACACCAGGTGGCTATTTTGTGTTGGCTGTTGTCATTGTTTAATTTGACAATCTAACGGGAAGAAAAAGTCAGTGCCCCTATCTAAATAGTTAGGTATTGCACGTTTTAAAAATTCTTGTGGCATGCAGGTTGAAAAATCGCTGCTTTTGGCAAATTTTTTTTAATTAAGGCTTTATCATACTCACTTTGCCTAAAATAACTTCTCAGCCCCATACATGCAAATCAGTCTATCTTTAACACTATCTGCAGTCATTGTTGCAAAGAAACCTCGGAATCTGAGTGTCCTGGGAAAGTTTTTGAGGAAATCTGAAGTTCTTTAAGATGTACTCCATTTGATTATTCAACACGTTCACTTTTTCTTCATGAGAAATCCCTTTTATTTCCACCCCCAACCTGCATCAATCTTTTTCTTTAAAACTAACCAGACTTAAATACTGACACTCAGAGACAATGAGCAATGTCATGAAACCTATCACTCACCCCCACTGAACTGAAACAATTTCCATCCACGAGACTCCAGAAACGACATACCCCTCCATGTATCCTTGAAATGAGAAAGTGTGACAAGGAGCACGGAACTTGGGATTTGGAGCAAGGAAAATTTAACATCTCACCTCTCCCTGCTTCTCCACCTTAAGCAACACTCAACCTACACCTAAGCCTCACTATTTTCTCATTTGTAGAATAAAGACAATACACTAACTTTGTTACTGAAAAGAACTTATGTAAATGATCTAGCATCTAAGAGACACTCAGTTAATGTCACATATTTTTTCTAAGCTCCGATTTGTTTAAACACACACACACACACACAAATCAAAAAACCACAGTAACTCCCCTCACAGAACGACAGGAATCTGAGATCCCCAAATTGGGTCAATTGGGCTAGACTCGGGGATACCAGGATGAATTAGGTCAAGATCCCTGCCCCTGAGGAAGTCAGAACCCAGTGGGAAAGCCAAATCTAACACAAATCACATTGTGATAACAGTTCGAGAAAAACAAAGTACTTGTAGGGTAAGCATCTTGCTTCCTGACAACTGTCAGTTTTGGCTCAAATAAATGTGTAAAAATTCTCTAAAAAGAACGTGCTGGAGTCACACAAAAGAGCAAACAACTCATTCTGAAGGGGGACCACACACACATCATAGGGGAGCTGGGATTACAGTGGAACCTGGGACTTCCCTGGAAGGGAAGAGAGGCCAGAGGAAGGCAGCCTTTTCTTGAGTAGAGTAAACAGAGTGTGCAAAGAGAGACCACATAACAAAAGCAGGAGCCTTTGTTGTCAGAACTGAGATCACAGCTCACTCTCTCTCCCTATTAGAAAAATTTGCACTGCCAGTGAATCTTTCTGTATTCCATTTTCTCACCTACAAAATGGGAATAATAGTGTCTATTTCACTAGGGATTAAACATAATCATGCATGTGAAGTACAGAGCTACCTGTGCAGAGTAAAAGCTAAAAAAAAAGAAAAAAAGTGGCTACTGAGAGGGTGAAAGGGTAGTGGGAAGCCAAGGGGCAGGAGGGGGGACTAAACAGTTACTTTCAGTCAACCTAGGAATGATACTGCATGCCAAGTAAGAAGTTAGGATTAACTAGTGAGGACAATAAAGCCACAGAGGTTTTCCATAGGAGTGCAAGGATTACACATTTGCTTTAGGGTAAAAAAACAAAAATGACAACAACTCTGGTGTCCCTGAAGGGTAATCAGAGGAAAGCACTTAGGAGGGCACCTGAGAGAGAAGAGCATGAATTCAAGTAATTTCCGTTAAGATTAGGAAGGAAAGCAGGCACTCGAGAAATCTTTCTACAGTAAAATTCACAAGGCTTAACCAGGTGACCGCATTCGGGGAGTTGAGTAGGGAAATAAGTGAATAACAGGCCTCTCCTCTGGATGACGGGGTGAATGGTGGTGCGCTCACTTCCAATCGAGTTTTATTGAGTTAAATGTCGTCTCCAGCCGTTAGTGAAACAAAAGAAAGGAAACGTTCTCAGGGAGGGAGGGCCCGGAGGCTGACTCCAAATTCAATGTCCAGTTCTCCCAAGCACTGTTCTGCCCAGGAGGAATCCCAGATCTTTATGTCCCCTCAGGAAACCAGCTCCTGAGCCTTTTTTATTTCCGGCCCGGTGCGGCTTCGCAGCGCTACCCGGCAGTCGACTCACAAACGCTGGAGAGGTCTGCTCTGGAGGACGCCGGCAACACACTCGCGAAAGAATTAAACCAGTTTAGCATCTGTGTTCCTCCCCAAAGGAGCCAATGAGCAGGAAAAGCACCCCGCTGCATTCAAGATACAAAGTATCAAGTTATTTTTATAAACTTTGCCTGGTTTTGATTCGAACGACTGAAGCCAACCCCCCCGCCCCCATCCCAAAAATGGCACTTTGCCTCATCAGGGAAAAGAGATCGGAATGACTAAGTGGCGGGTAGAAAGGGAGACGGGGAAGGAGAGCCGCGCCACGATTGGGGCCGGTCTTCCTGGAGTTGGAACTTGCCGCTGTGTGACTCTGCAGTCACAAGGCGACAGTTTGCTAGAACCCAACGCAATTTCCAACGACCCACCAAAAACTGACCTAACTTTCGTCGCCCCGCATCCTCCTCTATTCCCTAGCCCAAGCCTCCTGGCCTCCGGAGCTGCGGCCCAGCCGAGCGGGGCTCCAAGCCCGGCGCTCTGCGGCCCAGGGCGGGGCGGCTCCGCGGCGCGGGTTCCTTGCCGGGGCTCCAGTGCTCGGGCCTTACCCGCAGGCACCGGTTTGGGGCCTCCCGGCCGACCCCCATATCCACATCGTTCCCGGCCTGTGAAGCGGCCGCCGCGAAGGAGGGTACCCGTCTGGGCTGAGGGGAGCGTGGATACACTAGGCTGGGCTGAGGGGCCAGCGACGGGTCCCAGCGCGGCCTGGCGCTCCCGCCCAGGCTGAGGCCTAGGCGGCCCCGTTAGTTCCTTCAGTCAGCGCACGGCCTAGGGGGGCGGCGGGACCACGTAAGGTGAGAGGCCAGGCAGCGGCAGCACAAGGAGCCCCAGCCCGCCACGGGGCCCCGGGCCCGCGACGCCGCCCCCCGCCCGGCCGGCGCCGGAGAATGGCTTTTACCTTCATCAGCCTCCTGCTGGCCGCCATCTTGGATCTGGTGCTGCTGCCTTCCCAGTGTGCATCACGGCCGGCCGGGCTGCTAGAGCCCCCACACTTCCTGGAGCGGGGGAGGGGCGGCCGAGGCGGGGCACCGGATGTGCAAAACGCCTACTGTGTGCCGGCCACAGTGCTAAAGAGGCGTGGGTGAACAGAACCAGTAGAGACCCTGTGTTTATGGAGTGTCCAATCCGATGGCAATTACAGTGCCTGGCATATAGTAGGTGCACAATAAATACTGATTGCACAAAATCATTAAATAAGCAGGATTATTTCAGGCACTGCTAAGCACTGTGAAGAAAACTGAGTGATTAAAAAAGAAAACTGGTGATGCGAAAGTGACTGTGGGGACCTACTTTTCATTGAGAAATCAGAAAAGCCCACTGAGAACGCAGTATAAATAATGATAGCTAACACTGGTTACCACTAACAGCCCCGTTTCGTGGGAAACAAGCATGGAGAAGCCCGATAATTTGCCCAAAGTCACACCCCACTCCTGTCCACAGCCAATGCTGGGACATGATGGATAGGAAGGAGCAGCTGGGAGGCTTGGAGGAGAATGTTTCAAGGAGGGGAAATGACACTGGCAAGGACCATCAGACTCTCTGGGTTGTGGGTGGCCAGAATGGAGTAAGAAGGATTAGAGGGAGTAAGAAAGGCAGGTGACAGGCTGTGGAGGGCCTTGTAAGAAAAAGAAGGATTTGACTTTTCTCCTGAGTGTTGTGAGAGCCCTTTGATGGATTTGGGTAGCAACCAAGTAGTCAGATACAGGTGTTTAAGGAGAGTACTGTGATTGGATAATGGAGAACAGAAGTAGGTAAGAGGATAAGAAGGGGATGAGGAGCCCTTTGGAAGACTGTTGCAGCCATCCAGGCAGAGAGGTGATGGTTTGGACCTCAGGTAGCAGTACAGGCAAAGAGAAAGCTACAGCTTCAGAGCACATTTTGGCCTTGTGAAGGGGCTTTTCTCCATTCTAAAGGCAGTTTCTCAGAAAAGGAGGGAAGAAAAGGGCGCTGGAAATATACAGCTTGGAATAGGACTGGTCTCCTACAGAGTGTCTGGGAGCCCAGGCTTGACATTGGGAGGGAGCTGGAGAGAGTAGATGACAAGCCTCAGCCAATCAAGGACCCTGTCTGCCTTTTATCTTCCCCATGGCCATCACACAGTGGGTGCTCAATAAACATTTTGCAAATGTATGAGGGACTCTGTCAACTACCTGCTTACAGCCATGGGGGACTTGGAAGTCTGGCCTAGGGACTGACTCCATGGTCCTATTGTGTGCACTGGGCCTGCAGCCTAGCTGGCCCAGGCAAATAAAGAACACAGCTTTATTGAGAACTGTGTTCCCCTATGGAGAAGCACAGAATGAATGGGATACCACCCTGAAGAATTCCAAGCCAGCTGAGGAAACACAATGCCTACTCTTGACCTCAACATGCTAAACTGGGAATAGAGGCTAGGATCAGGAGACGCCAATTGGCCAGAACTAGTCTTTGCTGTGCCATCTTCTTGCATCCTCATCACTACCTTGCAAGATGGCTCCCATGTACCCACTTTGCAGGTAGGGAACCGAGGCCCTGAGCAACAGAATGCCCTTGTTAAATAAGCAACCAGGAAATGTACCCATCTCAGTGGAAAGTTGCCTGGTGTTTGGGGCTCCTCTCCTGCTCTGGCTTCTGGTCAGACCAGCTACACCCCACCCTCCACTGAGCTCAGCTTGGTCACTGAGACCTGACCTTTTTATGCCATCTCCAGAGCCCCCCATCAAAAGTTGCCTTTTCCTCCTCCTAGATTCCAGGTCCTTCTGCGCAAACTTATCACATGCTACTCCTTTCTCCAATCAGCAGGGGGTCCCGGACTCTCATCTGCTAGGTTCAGAGAAGGGGATACAAAGATGACACTTGCCCTCAAGGGGCTGGCATCATCCTGTGGAAGCACCAAGGAAAACTACAGAAGGTGGGAGGATTTGGTGAGTTGTGGAGCTCAGAGGAGGGGCCTGACAGAGGCCGGGCAGGGGCCAGAGATGGAAGGATTTCTACAGCCAGAAAGAGGACAAGAGACATTGCAGGGAAAAGAAAATGCCTCTGCTAAAGCAGGAAATTGGCAATGGGCACTCAGACTTGATAAGCCTGACCGTGTGCCTGGCAATGGGCACTGGACATCTGCACCCACCACTGAATGCATTGGTACCACAGAGCAATGCTAAGATGTTCTATTTCACAATGAGGACACTAAGGCCCTGATAAAATGGCTTGCCTGGCATCACCCAGCTGGGAAGTGGGGTTCCAGGAGGTAGACACCAATCTGGTCCATGCTGGTGAGGCTCCGCCTTGACTTCCCTCGGCTTGCCCAAACCTTCATGTCCTGCATCCCTCCCTTCCCACAACCGGTCCTGCAGCCATACCACACCCCCTGCCTCTAACCATGCTGCTCCCTTGCCTGTGAAGCCTTTGTCATTCCCTCCCCCTAACATCCCCTTATCCATCTGGCAAGTGCTAGTCATTCTTAAGGACCCCACTTACCACGCTCTCCTGGGGGGACTGACAGTCGGCTCTGTGCTGCCCTGAGTGGGAATGCACAAGCCTCAACTACCCCAGCTGCCTCTGAGGTCAGGACTGTTATCGGTCCCATTTACAGAGGAAGAAACTAAGGCTCAAGGGATGAGCAATGCTAAGATGTTCTATTTCACAATGAGGAAACTGAGGCCCTGATAAAATGGCTTGCCTCGTATCACCCAGCTGGGAAGTGGCTTGAGCCCAAATCTGCAGCTGGACTATGAGGGGTAAACCAAGACCTGGGAGACTCAGGTGACCTAAAGGGCTCCCTGCCTCCCTCCTACCCTCCTGTTCTCCCCTCTTCTGTTCTATCCCATCCTCTTGCTTCCTCATGCCTCACTCCCTTCAGCAAACCCCGCTGGAGGTTCTATGTGTATTAATGTGGTGCTGGGCCCCACCCTAACCCGATTAGGTTGGGCACTCAACAAACATTTGATAAAGGACTGTCCCCTGCCCCAGAGCAATGGTCAAATGACTGGACAAATGATATTGCCACTGGTGTGAGTGGGGAGGTAGGCAAGGCCTTGTGCTTCATGCTGCAGGGAAAGGAGGGTGACTAGAATAGGTCCAGAGGGGACAAAAGTAAAGATGGCAGAAGATGGAAGATAGGTCTGTCCTGGCAACACTGGGTCGCTGGGAAACTATGATGCTCCCAACAGCAACAGGGTCCTTGGGAAGTAACAGCCATTTGTCTGTGGGCTTGGGGATGACAATGACGTTCCAGCTGTCAGAGCCAGTGGGCCAGGTTACATGGCACCAATTCAGAGACCAGACTAGGGTCACACAGGCCTGGGCAGAAGTCCTTGTGTAACCCTGAGCAATTTCCTTATCTGTAGAGGAGAGTGCCAGCCTCTTTGGCTGTGGTGAGGACTCAGGGACAAGGCATGTAGAGTACAGGTGGGAGCAGGCTGGCCACCCACAGAGGCACATGCCTGAGGAGCTAGGCCAGGGCTGCCAGAGAGGCCAGTCCAGCAGGCCAGGGGCCCCAGCCAGAGAGCTGGAAGCCGGCATACAGTGTCCCTCCCTGCCCAGAGCACGGGGACCATCCAGAGAAGGCTGCAGGGCCCAGGAAGTGGAGGCAGAGAGAAGCATGGTCCTTCCCCAGGTATCCAGCCCTATCCAGGAAGGGACAGTGCTGGATACCTGGGGAAAGAAGACCTGGTTGGGATCCTGCTGAGCCGCGCTTCCTCTCTGAGCTCCAGTCTCTCCTCAGGCAAAGGAGAACGGAATTGTGAAGAGTCAATGCCAGAGGGTGTGGACCTCCCCCGGGCAGGGTGGGCATGGGAGAGGGCTGGTGCAGAGGGAACAGCATGCGGGGCCTTGCAGGTCCCTCTGCCTGAAATCTGATCTCTGCTCAGGGCAGACCTCACACACCCTCTTATCTCAGTTCCCTTGGGGAACCTGCTCTGCGGGCTTTCGCTCCCCTGTAGCACCACACCCCTCACTCACAGCACTTGCCCAAGCTCTGAGTTCACCACATTCTTTCCCTATATTTGTGTTTAACCTCCGTGTCTTCCCTTAGACTGTAAACGCCATGGGGACAGAGGTCACATATAGCTTGTCTGCCTCTGTCTTCTTTAGGCTTGTTTTTATTGAACACCTATCACGTGCCAGGCACTGTTCCAGATGCTGAGGCGACATCAGAGAACAGAGAGAACACATATCGACCCCCAAATAAGGGAAGTGGAGTGGAAAGCTGGAACTACCGCAGCTGCAGAAGTTAGGAAACTTAAAACCTTTTTGGTGGGCCCTCAGGATGGAGCCCGAAGCCTTCATTAACGCCAGGCAAGCTCTGTAGAGCTCAGTGATTGGGTGGCAGAGCTGAAAGAGGGCCAAGCCAGGCTGGCACAGGAGGCTGTGAACCAGATTACCCAGGATTCCAGACCTATGACGACATAGCCCAAAGGTCATAAACTGGGGCTATGGGGAGAGGCAGCGTGGAATACAGGGCTGGTGATGTGGGGTGAACCAAGACATGAAGGGGGCATGTGGCTTCTCTCAGGGTAAGTGGAAACACAGACTATTAGGGTAGTATGTGTTTGTGCAGATAATACATAAAAGGATCTCTAACTCAGAGGTTTTCAAATTTGCTTCTAGCAGCAAACATCTTTAAGACACTATTAAACCAAAGTCGCCCTGACTGGTGTGGCCCAGTGAGTTGGGCATCGTCTCACAAACCGAAACATTGCTGGTTCAAATCACAGTCAGATCACATGCCTGGGTTGTAGGCCAGGTCCGAGGTTGAGGGCATGTGAGAGGCAGCTGATCAATGTTTCTCCTGCACATGAACATTTCTGTCCCTCTCTTTCTTTCTCCCTTCCCCCTCTCTAAAAATAAATAAATATATATTTAAAATATTTTATTTATTTTATTTGTTTTTAGAGAGGGGGAAGAAAGGGGGAGAAACAGCAATGTGTGATTGCCTTTCACGCGCCCCCTGCTGGGGACCTGGCCTGCAGCCCAGCATGTGCCCTACACTGGGAATCGAACCAGGGGCTCTTTGGTTCGCAGGCTGGCACTCAATCCACTGAGCCACACCAGCTAGGGGATATAAATAAAATATTTTCAAAAAAGAGACTATTAAACCAAAATCTTCCTTAGAATCTGATAAAGGACACTATGGAAGCAGTGGGGACAATGTTTCCCCTTCAACTCCTGGCATATCCTCTCCAACCCTGAGTCTGTAGCATTTCCCCAGAACCTGGAGCCCTAAGGAACCCAGTTTGAAAACCACCCATGTAATCTATCTCTTTTATGGTACAGGCAAGAAAGCCAACACCCTGCCCTGACTGGTGTAGCTCAGTTTGTTGGGCATCATCCCACAAAGCAAAAGGTCACCAGTTTGATTCTTGGTCAGGTCACATGCCTGGGTTAGGGCCCGATGTTTCTCTCCCTCTCTCTCTCCTTCCCTTCCCCTCTCTCTGAGAATAAATAAATAAAATCTTTTTTTTTTTTTAAAGCCAAGACCTAGAGAAGGCAGCAACAAGCAACATGGTGAACTAATGCCCATCTCCGCTCTCCCCGACTCAGAGGAGATGGGGCGACAGGCAGGACGAGTGTGCAGATGGCAGGCGCCTGGCACCGGGGAAGCCCTGGGTTGCTCGCCCACACAACCATATTCAAAATGTCTCTGCCATGCCATGGGTGGTGCCGGCACAAGCAGCTGCTGGATGGTGGCTGTGGGGCCCCAGACACTCACCCCAGAGTCTTCTTCCTTGGCAGCCTGCCCTCCTGACCTGTTGGAGGCTCTGCTCTAGGCTGTAGTAGGACATTGGGTTGTAGAGCCCCACCCACTAACCTTGAAATGACAATCCCGTTCTGCCACAACTGCCCGTGTGCCCTGGCAAAGCCACCTACTCCCGCTGAGCCCCAGGTCCTCCTCTGTCAAAGCTGTAATGAGGATTTCATGAAAAAACGCTCCGCGTGGCTGCCACGTCCAGCGGCCCAGCCCCAGGTCAAAGCTAAGGCCATCTTTACATCTTACCTACCACCACCCCCACACTCACCTCACCTCTCAAAGAGAACATCCGGAGCCCTAATTCCTTGTGTTTGCGTTACTCGCCACTACCCAAAGGCACCTTCTGGGCACAGCCAGTGATTCAAGGAAACCAGGTTTGAAAATATGAGTTCAGCAAAAAGAGTGGAGCCCACAGGGTCACATGCTGAATGAAGAGAGCACCTGCTTCTCAGAGTCTCAGCTTTCCTTCCCACCTCTGACATGGGGCCAAGACCACCTGCCCACCTACCTGGGGAAATGACTGTGTAAGGGACAGGGCCTGTCTGTCTGTCCTGCACCAGGAGCAACGCGGGAAGATCAGTCACAGAGGAGAAGCTGTGGCGGGGAGGGAAAATTCTCTCAGGAAGGCTGTGTGGGTGGCGCGGGCCAGCCAGCCATCCTCAGAGCAGCAGAGCCTGAGTTTGTGAGAGGCCTTATGTGCTGCCTTGGCCGGGCCTGCACCACAGACTGAGAAGCAAAGAGGTCTCTAATGTGACCGCAGTACAGTCTAAATGCAAATGGCCAGGTACCAGATGTCCATCCGCATCTTGAGAGCCACTTGGTGCTGGGCAGAAAGGACAGGGAGGAGCCAGATTTAAGTAGGGCTCCTGAGCTCCTAAATAGACAGGTGGGCAGGCCCAGAAAAGGGTGTGTATGTGTGTGTGTGTGTGTGTGTTTGTGCGCGCGTGCCCGTGTGTTCTGTAGCTCAGAACCCTGACAACATCTCTGCAAAGGCCAGGCCCTCACTCCCAGCCCAGCCTGAGTCCTCTGCTCAATGTCCTGATGAGCAGCCTGGAGCCTGACGCCCCAGCCCTTGCTGCCAGATGGTACCTGAGTATGGGAGCTGGTCAGGTTGGGTGGCCAGGTCAGACAGTGCCCTTCATGCCCTTCCTGCCTGTCTGGTCTGGGGTCTCCACCCAGTCTTTCCGGGAAGAGGCTTTTCCTTTATTCTTCCTCTAAGCCCACCCTGGGCAGGGACACTGATATGTATCAGACATGTCCCTGCTCCAAACGGAGAGGTACCATGTGGGACAATGAGGACTGCAGAGTCCCCGGGAGCCCAGGCCAAGCTTGGACAGTCAGGGAGGGCTTCCTGGAGGAGGAACTGATAAGCTGAGGCCAAAGAACAAGACAAGGTTAGTAGTAGGTGAGCAGACGAAACCAGGGGTTGTGTGGGATCCACTAACCCAGCTGGTTATCTTGAGCAGAACTCTTATTCCACTGGGGCTTGAGACTCCTCATCTATAAATTGGGTGGTTTAAATAATGTATGATGCCCTGGCTGGTGTAGCTCAGTGGATTGAGTGCTGGCCTGTGAACCAAAGGGTCACCAGTTCGATTCCTAGTAAGGGCACGTGCCTGGGTTGCAGGCCAGGCACAAGAGGCAACTGTGGAATGTATCTCACACATCAACATTTTCCTCCATCTCTTTCTTCCTCCCTTCCCCTCTCACTAAGAATACATAAATAGCCTTTTAAAATAAATAATATATGGCAAACACTTAGCACGACACCTAGTAGGTCCTTGATCTGCCACAGATTTTGTTGTCATTTTTGTATCAGGCAAGGTTGGCATCCTAGACAGGGGGAACAACACATGCAAAGGCCCAGGGGTCTTTGAGCCAGGGGTATTCTTCCAGCTCCTGGAAGAAGCTTGCGAGCGTCCAGGTCAAGCCCTGGGTGGGAAGATGAGAACTTACCTGAACTTTGATGCCGCTCCTACTGCACACCCTCAGCTGAGAGACTCCTGGTGATATCAACACACTCACTGTGTAGAATCTGGGAGAGGTGAAGTAACCAGCCATGGTCACTCAGCCAAAAAGTGGCAGAGCCTAGATGGAAACTCAGGTCTCTGAGGGTTCCCACCTGCCATGAGGCATCCAGAGTGAGTCCAGGGAGCACAGAGAGTACCTGTGCTGCTTCCACCATGGCAGCCCTGCCCAGCCTCAGCCAAACCCCTGCCTTGTAATCCTCAGTTCTCTTGCTGCCAAAAAGGGACTTGGATTAAAACTAGGGAGCTGCTGACAAGAGCTTTGATCTGCTCTGGGCACCGTGTGCTCTCACCTCATCAAAACCTCACAGTTAGAGGATATGAATGCTCAGAGAGGTCAGGGAACCCTGGGAGGTCACACAGCCCAGAAGAGGACTGCATTATTGGCCAATTTTACAGATGAGGACATGGAAGTGGCACAAGAAGCTGAAGAACTGTTTGACTCCAGAGGTCCTCCAGCCCTAACCAGCTGATCACACTACCCTTGGAGAGCCGTGGAAAGTTCTCTGGCCTTGCTGTTTCCAAGGAGGTGGTGTGGGGACCCATAGTGGCCTCTGGCTTTACCTTTTGTAGAAGCAGGTAGCCCTAGGCACTCCTGGGCTGGGCCAAAGGGCAGGCTGGACCCCCACAGGAGCCTCATTCTCTCACTTCCCACCCATCCTCTAGAACTGGGTTCTACTTGCCCCGCCCTCCTATAGATGCAGAATGTGGCTCCCCGGGGAGAAGAAGACTGGAGAAGGGTCTTCATACCTGCTCCCCTGAGATGGGAAGATAGAGTCAGAGTGCTCCTGGACTCTGGAAACAGAATGTTGCAGGTCAGGACTTTGGTCTCAGCTAGCACCATACCCAGGCAGTGGGCTCAAAAGTTCCCATCTGTAAGCACAGGAGCTTTAAATAGATAATGTATGCCAGTGCTTGGCACCACAGGGAGCCTTGGAAGGTTAGGCACATTGGGGATGCAGGCACCAGACACACCCTACCCTAGCCAGCGGCCCAGCGCCCACCCCCAGTTTGGGTATATCTTGTTACAGTTTTCAGACACCTAAATCCATGGCAGGGCCAGGTGGGGCCTGCTCAAACCCCATCTGTGATTTTAACCCACACACGGAGCCCCTTTCTCCAGGCACAGAGGAGCAACCTGACTTTCCTACAGCTCATTGGCCTGAAAGGAATTGTACAGTGCCTGGGAGAGTGCTCGGGTCAGTCACAAGGGACATGATGCGAAGAAGAGGGAGAATCCTGCAGCCAGGGAGACCCATGGGGAATCCTGGGAAGATCATGGGCTGCGTTGAGCGGGGGGTGTCGAAAATCCATCCCCAGCCTAGGCACCCGTAGCAGGGGGTGAGAGAACACACCCAGAGGCGGAAGGGGCGCGCGGAGAACCCTTAGGGGCGCCGGAAGGGGCGCGCGGGGCGGTTGGCCGGCTGGGGCGGCAGCCGTTGGCGAGCAGAGGCTTCGGCCCGGCGACGTCCCTGGCCGGGCAGCAGCCACCATGACCAAGGACTCGCCCAACTCTTCGGGTGGCAGCCGCGCGACACCCAAGAAGCTGAGCCCAACGGCGGCGGTACTGGAAGAGCAGAGGCGGGAGCTGGAGAAGCTGCGGGCTGAGCTGGAGGCGGAGCGAGCGCGCGGGCGGACGGACCGGCGGCGCTTCGCGGCCCAGGCGCGCCAGCGGCGGGAGGCAGCGGAGAGGGAGCGGCAGCAACTGGTTGACCATCTGCACTCCAAGTGGGAGGCACAGCGGTGTCGAGAGCTCCAGCAGCTGCAGGAGGAGGTGCTCAGAGAGCGCGAGGCCGAGATCCGGCAGCTGCTCCGTTGGAAGGAGGCCGAGATGCGGCAGCTGCAGCAGCTGCTGCACCGCGAGCGCGACGGCGTTGTTCGCCAGGCGCGGGAGCTGCAGCGCCAGCTGGCCGCGGAGTTGGTGAACCGCGGCTACTGCGGCCGCGCGGGGGCGCCAGACGTCGCCGCCGCGCAGTGTCACTGTCGCCTGCAGGAAGTGTTGGCGCAACTTCGCTGGGATACCGACGGCGAGCAGGCCTCGCGCATCCGCCACCTGCAGGCGGCGCTCGACGTGGAGCGTCAGCTCTTCCTCAGGTACATCCTGAAGCACTTTCGCTGGCACCCGGTTTTGTCCGGTACCCTCGATACCCAGGCTGTGCGTTCTTCGAAAGAGCCCCACCCCGGGACTTCCGACGACTCTCGCCATCCCCCAAAGTTCGCCTGTCGACTCGAATCCCTTGACAGCCTGGGTGCCCGCGTTCCCATGCGCTCCCGCTCCCTCGACGTGGTGCCCGCAGCGTGCTCCAAATCCCCTAACAGCCTGCTCCCCACGCGTGCCAGGTCCCTCGGTTCTTTGGCACCAGCGAGTGTCCGCTTGCTCGACAGCACTCTGAGTCGCCCCAAGGCCCTTGAATCCGAGGAGCGGGACTCCTCCTCACCAGACACTTTCATCCTGGACTCACCGAGTCCCCCGCCGCCACCGCTGCCACTACCACCACCATCGGAGCACAGAGGACCTACCAACAGGCCAGGAGAAGACTCCGGGAGCCAGCCCTGCGAGGCCCTGACTCTCTCACCGCTGTGCCTGGACTACCACAAGCTTGTGAGGCAGAACTCAGAACTGTCCGAGGCGTTGCAGGTGCTGGCGCGCCGCTGCTCTGGCCTGCAAGAAGAGAACATGCAATTGCGGCGCGCGGGCTTTCCCGGCGCGGCCGAGGAGAAGGTGAAGCGGCTCAAGGTGAAGAACGCGGAGCTAACAGGCCTGGCTCGGCGCCTAGAGGACCGGGCCCGCAAGCTGCAAGAAACCAACCTGCGGGCTGTGAGCGCGCCTGTGCCTGGGGAGAGTCTCGTTGGCCTGGAGCTGTGCCAGGCCTTTGCCCGTCAGCGCGCCCGAGACTTGTCGGAGCAGGCGAGCGCGCTGTTGGCCAAGGACAAGCAGATCGAAGAGCTGCAGCAGGAGTGCCACTTGCTGCAAGCGCACATCGCCTCGGGCCTCAGCAGCACTCCGCACCCTAATGGGGGTGCGGCCAGCGCCCAGTGGCTCAAAGTTAGCGACTTGGACCGGCTACAGCGCGAGTCCCAGCGGGAGGTTCTGCGCCTGCAGAAGCAGCTGACGCTGCAGCAGGCCACCGGCTGCGCCCGGAAGGAGGCGAGCTGCCAAAGCGTACCCTGCGAGGAGGTGCGGTGTCAGGTGCAGGCGCTGGAGCTCGAGCTGAGCGCGCGGCGGCGCGAGTGCGAGGAGCTGAGCGCGCAGGCGGCGGCGGCGCGGCGGCGCGGCGACGAGGCAGAGGCACAGCTGCAGATCGCGCTACGTGAGGGCGCCTGGCTGGCCAAGGAGAACGCGCGTCTGCAGGCCCAAGCCGACTGTACGGTAAAGGTGGCAGAAAAGAATGACGACGTGCGCGGGCAGCTGGGCTGCGCGTGCCGGGAGCGCGACGCCGCCGGCTTGCAGGAGGAACAGCTGCTGCAGCAGGCGGCGCACGGGCAGGACAGGCAGCAACAGCTGCAGCATGACCTGCAGAAGGCCTTGCGTGATCTCCAGGCTGTCCGGGAGGAGATGCGAGCGCTGCAGTGTCAGCCTTGTCACCATCCCCAGGAACCCCAAGAGGCCCCTCAAGCCCCAGATTCCCAAGGCAGGAATACCAGCAGCAGGACCAAGTTCCAGCTGCGGCCTGAAGACCAAGCATCTCTAAAGCCCAGCAGAGATAAACAGGAGGAGAAGGAAGCCTCTCTGCTAGAGAGCCCAGTTGCCCTCGGGGATCTAGCCAGTGACCCCCAACTGCCAGACAGAGTGCCAGAGAGTCAACCTCTGGACTCCAGACCCCAGGCCAAGAAAATCAGCTCCCAGTCAAGCTCCTCCTCAGAGGTGGAATCCATGTGGGCCACTGTGCCATCCTGCCTTACTCTGGATGTGGACTCAGCCAGTGAGGTGGAGGATCTGGATTCTGACAGCGTGTCCTTGACCCTGGAAGTGGAGGACTTAGAAACCCCTGCCACCCCCAAGCTCAAAATCTTCCTGGTTCGCTATAGCTACAACCCATTTGAGGGACCCAATGAGCACCCTGAGAATGAGCTGCCTCTTACGGCTGGGGATTATATATATATCTTTGGGGATATGGATGAGGATGGCTTCTATGAAGGAGAGCTTGAGGATGGCCGGCGGGGCCTGGTGCCCTCCAACCTGGTAGAGCAGATTCCAGACAGCGACATCCTCGGCTGCTGGCCCCTGGAATCCCCCGACCTTTGCCCCACTCAACTCCCAGCTGGACAGGGCAAAGCTTCAAAGGAAGACACTGGTCACTGCTCATTGCCTGGGAAAGCTCAGCAAACTCTGGACACAGAGATATGCCAGATGGTGAGGGCAGGCTCCCAGACAGAAGTGGCAATAGAGACCTCTGATGCCAAGACAGAAGATGGCTGGCTGGGCTCACTGCAGAGTGCGGAGGAGCAGGACTTCTCCAAACCCCTTCTAGGGGCCAAAGGAGTCCTTTGTGTGGCCCCCAAGCAACTACAACTGCAGAATGTTACAGCCACATCGGCCAAGATCACCTGGGTCTACAGCAGCAGCCACCACTCGCACGTGGTATACCTCAATGACCATAAGCATGCCCTGACCCCAGCGGGTGTGAGCAGCTACACCTTCTACACCCTGCATCCCAGCACACGGTACCAGGTGCGGGTGCAGCTGCAGCTGCCGTGGGACTCACTGCAGGTGCACTGGGAAACCATGTCTTCCACTATCACTTTTGACACACCCTTGGCAGGACCCCCTGACCCTCCATTGGATGTGCAGGTAGAGCGTCACAGCTCACCAGGATTTCTGAAGGTCAGCTGGCTCCCAGTGACGATCCACTCGGCCGGGTCCTCGAATGGAGTCCAGGTCACTGGCTATGCTGTGTATGCCGATGGGCTCAAGGTTGCAGAGATCACTGATGCCACCGCTGGGAGCACCCTGTTGGCACTGTCCCAGCTCCAGTTGCTCGTGATGTGCCAGAAGGTCTCGGTGAGAACCATTTCACTTTGTGGGGAGTCACTGGATTCAGTGCCAGCTCAGATCCCTCAGGACTGTTTTAACTGTAACAAATCTCCAGAGACCTCTCCCTATAGCTACACCTGTGGTGACCTGTCTCCCTGCAGAGTCACCTCCCCCACCTGCCCTCAGAGGCTAGTGCTAGCTCCACTGAGTGCTAAGGCCAATTCCCACATCCCCAGCAGCTGTGGGGAGCCCCTGGCCGAGCTCCTAGAAGCATTCCCTGAGGCATCCCCACGGAGTTGCTCCCTGGTGCCCAACCTGAATTCAGAGAGAGAACGTCCAAGTGCAGGGGCTGGCAACCAAACCCAAGGGCTCACAGAGGCCTGGGGAGTCCACAGAAAAGACCAGATCTTTCAGAAGAGTCCCCAGAGCCACAAGCCGCCTCTGCCCAGCAGCCAGTCCGAAGGGGAAGAAGACCACTACCGGCACATGGGCAACAGCCAAAGCCCTGCCCTGGGAGTTACCCGTCTGTTCCCTGGGTGTGGGCCTGGGAAGGGAGCATGCCAGGCAAAGTCTGACCTTGAGAAGGTCCTTGGGCAAAAGCAAGATGCCCAAGTGTTCACCCCTCCCCAGACGGGCACCAGCCACCAATATATGCCTGACTTCCACGACATACTGCAGGAGGAGGAGGCGGCAGTGTGCTTTGGTCCATGGGCCACAGAGAGGCAAGGACAGAGAAGGGAGTTTAGGACCCAGAGTGGGCGAGGTCAGGCCCTGGGGGGTGATAGAGAGAACCAGCCCCAGGAGCCCAGCTCTGCACCTAGTCCAGCTCCATCCAGCAAAGCCATTAAGCTGTCCAGTGGAGGCCCCCCATTGCTTGGGGCGAGCGCGGACACTCCAGTCAGGGTCTTTGTGGCGCTCTTTGACTATGACCCCCTGGTGATGTCCCCCAACCCTGAGGCTGCAGAGGAGGAGCTGACCTTCCAGAAAGGGCAGTTGCTGAGAGTGTGGGGCTCTCAGGACTCCCATGGCTGCTACTATGGGGAATGCAACGGTCAAGTGGGCAACATCCCTGGGCACCTGGTGGCTGAGGTGGAGGTGGCCATGGAGGGGACTGGTAAGAGGTGGCATTTGCCAGTGCAAGGACACCTGCCCTCTGTGGCCCACTTAGATGACTTAGAGGGGCTCACCAGCCCCCAAGAAGCCTTCCCTCTGCCCCAAGGGAACCCCAGGAAACCCTCACTGTGGACTCCAATGACCATGATGGCAGCTCTGGACTATGACCCCAAAGACGAGCAAGCAGGGGGTCAGATGAAGGACAAGCTGTCACTGAAGGCTGGGGACCTGGTCACAGTCTACGGGCCAATGGATGACAAGGGATTCTATTATGGGGAGTCAGGCAGCCACAGAGGCCTTGTCCCAGCCCACCTGCTGGATCACGTGTCCCTCCATGGAGAGTGAGCAGGGCTACCCAAAGGGGTAGTGACTTCTGGCCACCCACTCCCTGCCAGAGAAGCAAGCACACAAACCCTTCCACTACCACCCCTCCTCGTCCCCATGAGCACCCCCGTGTGAAATTGATATCAGTCCTTTAGTGTCCCCTAACCTATGAGAGCAGCAGAGCTGAAGTCTGAACTCAGCCGTTTCCAGAAGGGAACAGGACAAGCATCCCCTAGAGTGTGACAGGCTGCTTCGGAGTTGTCATTCCCCACTGCAGGCACGTGGAGAAGTGCCTTTCTGTGCTCATTATGCTTTTCTTTAGGAGGTTACCATTATCCATCCATTGCCATGTATGAAAGTCTCAAGAAAAGCCTGCCTCTTAAAACAAAAAAGTGACCAGAATGTTATTTTTCTATCAGATGTTCAACCCCTTATTAAAATGTTGATAGAAAAAAGAAAAAGCATATTTTACAAATGAAAGCACAACCAAGAGAAACACAAGCTGTTTCTCCTCCCTCTGTTCTCTTCAGAGGGGCACAAGGGCTGCAGACATGTTGTCCCAGCGGTGGGGGAGGGGGAGGGGCAACCTCTTGATCATTATGGGGCACAGATCAGAGTCAGCTGGAAGCGCTGCCAAGGGGCCAGCCACGAGCCAGTACTGAGAAGAAGGGCCCTCAAAGCTCTGCACAGCCAGCTTCTCCCATGGGCCTCCCTGCCTAGGGAATTTGTGTCCCTTGGTGGAGGTTGGGACAGTGTCTCCCAGCTGCTTCCTGAAGAACTCCCCTGGGAGGGCACGTCCACATTTACTCCAGCTGCTGAGGCTCACGGAGTCCCCTCAGGTCCCATGGTTCCACAGCGGCTTCCGCGTATGGTCTTCTGGGGCTCCCCCTTCAGGAGAGTGGGGATGAGGGGGATGGTCTTCCTCCTTCTCTGCTTCTGTTTGATGCCCCCTTGCTTCCCTGAGTCCGACAATGCTGTCTGAGGAAGGGCACTGCCTTCCCGAGTGCAGGAGGAAATTACTGGAAGCATTTCCTGGGCAGGAGGGTTGGAGGCACAGGTAGGTTCTTTTGGGGGTTGGTGAACTGGGTCCAGAGGGTTCCACCACACTGTTCCTGGGTTCAAGGTGGGAACGGGGAAGGGGCAGACCCAGGGGCTGTTTCAACCAGACACACTGCTGCCTTAACCTCAAAGAACACAGGAGCCAGCGCAGCTGCGGTGTGCACACACACGCACTTGCCACTCGTGAACAGAATGTTTCGAGGCTGGACTCGGGAAGGGAACCCTTCACCCCATCCGCTCAGGGCCATGATCATCCCCCTCCCAGGCTCACAACCACCCATTTTTTTTCTTTTAAAATGTTATCTATTTATTTATTTTAGAGAGAGGGGAAGGGAGAGGGATAGAGAGGTAGAGAAACATCAATGTAAGAGACAGACATTGATAAGTTGCCTCTTGTATGTGCCCAGAGGAGGGAGGGACTGAACCCACAACTCAGGCATGTGCCCCGCCCAGGAATCAAACCCGTGACCTTTCACTTGGCTGGACTACGCCCAACCAACTGAGCCACACCAGTCAGGGCTATAATCACCCGTTTTTATAGTGAAAAAGTAGGCTCAATGGTTGCCCTGGGGAAGTAACCCAGACCAGCTCACAATTTTTTAAATAATTGTGATAAAACACACATAACATAAAGTTGACGATCTCCACCAATTTTTTTTGTACAATTGAGTAATTTACATTGTTGTGCAAGCAATCTCCAGAACTCTTTTCACCTTGCAAAACTGAAACTCTGTACACATTAAAAAACAACAACAACTCATTCCTCTCCCTCCTCAGCCCTTGATAGCTTCTGATCTTTGTTCTGTCTCTATGAATTTGACTACTCTAGAGACCTCCTGTAAATTGGCCATATATAGTAAATTTGTCTTTTTATGTCTGGCTTATTTCACTTAGCATAATATTTTCAAGCTCCACCCATGCTGTAGCATGTGTCAGAACTTCATTTCTTTTTAATATTCTGAATAACATTCCATTGTATGGATGTGCCATATCTCGTTTATCTATTCACCTATCAGTGGACACTTGTGTTGCTTCTACTTGTGAACAGTGCTGCTGTGAACATAGGTGTAGAAGTATCTCCTCAGCTTTCACAGTTTTTCAAACAATCATTTCCTTTGAGCTCACAACCTAGAATGGAAATTGAGAACGATGAGCAATAAAAAAACTGCTCGTGCAGGAGGGGACAGCTCAGCCCCTCCTGGACACTGGGTTGGAGGTCTTGGTGCCCATGGGCTAAAGGGTGGAGACAAACAGAATTCTCACATGCTGGGAGAGCAACAACAGTTTAGCAGTAGAATAGAAACTGATCCATGCACTTTCAAAATGAAATACAGTAACTAATGCCATAAGAACCACAAATACAACCCAAGAGGAAGTATGCCAGCCACATCATTCCATAATTTTTCACTTAACTTTACACCCTTCCCTGACCATTGGCCAAGACCATTCTCCTTTTTCCCAGTCGCTGCAGGATAGTCCATCTCTAGGCTATAAAGTGGCACCTCCACACCTCGTTCAGCCCCCACCCTGCTTTGTTTTTCTCCATTGTCCTCATCTGCACTTGGTATATTGCCAATGGCTTTTCTATAGTCTGTGTCCTACCCCCACAGCCATGCCCTCATCAGAATGTAACCTCCAGAAGGAAGAGGCCTCTGGCTTGTTCATTGTCCATAAATATGTGCTGAATGGAGGAAGAAGCAGTTTTTTACTATCCCTTGTATATGGCCCCTGTGCTGAGCCCAGACACTGGCCTGTTCTCCAGACATTCACACCATGCATAGGCTGCACCATCCCTTGGAATAGAGTAAGACATGACCCCTATGTAGCAGAGGAAGGCTTTGCTAATTCTGACCACGGGCACTGGAACAAATGAGGAGGAGGGCATCCTAGGCAGCGAAAATAGCAGAAACAAATGCCCCAAGGCACGTGAAAGAGTGATTGCACATTTGAGAAACTGGGATAGTAGGGGCACAGGAAGAGATAAACGAACTGGTGACAGGTGCCCATCAGCTGTAAGGGCCCCCCCTTCTGGAAGGGTTTCAAAGTCCTCAAGAGCTTCCTCATGCTGCCACTAGGGGGCAGCCTGGGCACACCAAGGGTTGTTCTCCGGGGACTGTACTTGGCCTGAGCCCCAGCAGATGAGGCCCACACCTACCTTACTCAGGCCCTAACCTGTGTCAAGGTGATCAGGCAATGTCTCTTTGACCCTGCAAGCCGAGGATTCAGGCCCCACCCACGCTGTTCTCTCCCTCCCTTCTCCCCAGAGCACCCTGGGGAATCTCCCACACAGGGACCCCTAGGGAACATTCTTCCAGAGGACCCAGAAACGGTGTCAGGCCTGGCAAGTCTGACACCCACCCACAGGAAAGCCTCCCTCTTCATTTTTCCTGCAGTTCCACTCCTGCAAATCCCAGCTTCCCTGAGGCCATGGGAAGCTGGAGTGAGTGAAGAAAAAAGCCCAAGGCCAAGTGGGCTATGGAAGGCAGGGCCACTGGCCTCAGTTTCCTCATCCGTGGAGGGGGCGTGGGGATGTTTTGAGCAGATTCTATCTGCAGAGCACTTAGCCCAGAGTCAGGACCCAAAGGAAGACCAAGAAACCTGGTGAGGCAAAAGCAGCAGAAGCCTGGGGCAGGAGCAGATAGCTCTGGGTCCAGCAGGCATCCCCCAAGAGCCCGGGAACCTGAAGACTTTGAGTGGAGCCAAGGGGAGGCCATGTGGGTGTAGTGAGGAGGCTGGGGAGGAGTGAATGCCTGGTCATGGCGTGCACGGGGCCCCTGGCCGGCTGACCAGGTGACTCGGAGGCCCAAATCCTGTCCAGGCCTGCCCAGGAAGAGACAGGGGGATGGAGAGCCCAGCTGGCCAGAGGGCAGAGGAGCCTACAGAGTGGTGAAGGGGCGGTGTCCAAGGAGTCTGGAGAGTTCTGGAGCAAGGGTCACTGAGCCTGATCTGGCACTGTCCACTTCTACCCAGGGGCCTCTGGCCAGGGCAGGTCTCAGGGCCTCGCCACCCCTCCACCCAACAGAGGAGAGGCTTCAGGCATTTCTCCTCATTTTCTGTTCTCTTCCCACACGTTGGATGAGTTTTCCTGTTTCCCAAGCCAGGACACTGAGATCCAGTGGCTGGAGCAAAAGCAGCTGCCACAAAAGCAGCATAAAGACAGCCAAGTGGCTCCTTTAATCTTTCCCATGGCCCTCTGCTGTGGGAACCGCCCCCCAATCTTGCCAGAGACCCCTGGGACTAGATCCTCTGTCCCCCTCCACCTCTGCCACAAGTTCAGACTCCACCTTTTGGTCACACCTCCTCTCCCTGTCTCAGCCTCATAAAGGTCAGATGTGAAGGCTGGGTCGAGGCATGTGGGAGGTCAGGGGTTCCACCTAAGGCAGAGCACATTGGGCCACCCCAGGTGTGTGAAACCAAACGTCGTGCCAGGTAGAGCTGGCTGTAGGAACCTGGGCCCAGGGGGCTCCTGGGACCACGGTGGCTTCACTTACGCCCCAGCGGCCCCACAGGTCCAGCCAGGTCTGGGCTCAGTCCTGTGTATCCCTGACTGAGGTGGTGGGGGCGGGGGCGGAGGGTGGGGAGGGTGTCCGCAACAGGTCTGTTCAGGGCCGGAGTGTCTGGTGTTTGGAGGTCCCTTCCCTCAAAATCCCTGGCCTCTGATAGCTGGCTACGGTGTGTGTGCCCGGCTGCGGCCTGAGCTCTCAGAATAACTCCCTTTAAATCCTTCAGTAACTGACCACTTGACTGGCTGTGCCCACCTGGCTGAACCTCCAGGACATTGACCTCAGAGTGGGGTGGATCCAAATCCTGGACCACTCGCTTCCTGCTTGGGCAGCCTCAGGCAGCTCCTCAACTCTCAGCTTCCATTTCTTTTTCCCGATTTTGGTCTTTGGCTCCCCTGCCCCTTCAGCCAGCTCACTCCAAGGTGTCCTTCAAAAGTCCCCTCCTTTTGGCCCTGGCTGGGTACCTCAGTTGGTTAGAGTGTCATCCCAACGTGCCAGTG